TAATTGCAAATGATAGTAATGAACAGGGAGCAATAATAATAAAAAGTGTTAAAAAAAAAAAAACACCTTAAAGGAACAGAGTTACTCAAAACTGTTTCAATAGTTTTTTTTCTATATAACACCCTGTATAGTTAGTTCATTGCATGATTTTTTTTTTTTTTTTTTTTTTTTTTAAGAAACCACTTCTGTTCTTAAATTTCCTTAGGCCACCTGGTGAGAGTATTTGAGCCTCCCTTTCTTATCTTAGAGGTTTTTACTTTATGAGATGACACCCAAAATGAAAAGGCATTTGTGTGACATTTAACAGAAATGGAAAATGACATTTAACAGAAATGAGGGAACAGTGGCACTCAAACCAGACAGAGACTGAAGGGAAAACTCTTGACATTTGTCAGTGCCTCCTTTCTGTGCCCTATTTTCTCTATTCTGGTACTTTCCTCACCAGAGTAAGGCTTGCAGGACCCTCCCTCTAGCCAGCTCAGTCTTCTGTGGGTGCCCCTTATTACAAAATGGTCCCACCTTTCCTTTATGTTCAGCCAATCTCTTGTTTCACTGTCACATAGAGCAGAGATCTGACAGGATACTTCACACTAAGCATGAATGGCTGATGTGAGCTGCATACCTCTCCAGGGGTCACCAGAGAATGGCATTTTTTTTTTTAAGATTTTATTTATTTATTTGAGAGAGAGAATGAGATAGAGAGAGCATGAGAGAGGGGAGGGTCAGAGGGAGAAGCAGACCCCCTGCCGAGCAGGGAGCCTGATGCCGGAACTCGATTCTGGGACTCTGGGATCATGACCTGAGCCGAAGGCAGTCGCTTAACCAACTGAGCCACCCAGGCACCCGAGAATGACACCCTTAATGGGAGACCTTGGGCCCCTTGGAAACATATCTTAGGGTGTCCTTCAAATCACAGCATATTGTTAACCAGGTCTACAATTGTCAAAGTGCACCTCTTCTTGGTACAGAAAAACATAAATCTCTCTTAATATGTCACAACTGTGTTATGTTTGACCTATTTGACCTAAAATGAATTACATCAAGGCATAATCATGGATTAATTCATTTAAAACATGTCCTTTACAAATATAAAAATATTAGAAACATTATTCACTCATTCACAGTTATTTACTATGTGCCAGGGAGTTTACACCACCACCTCATTTAAGCTTCAAAACCCAATACAAGATATTGGTATTATAGGTATTGTTATAATTATTTCTCTTTTATAGATTTGGAAACTAAAATTCAAAGAGGCCAAGTAAAATGTCCCAGGTACTACATGATATAATAATGATGTAAATCCTGTTCTTTCTGGTTCCTAAGGCAATGATTTTTTTTTTTTTTGTACTATGCCATATGTCTACCATAATGACTATGAATGTGACACTAAACACTAAATCATCAGATCTAGAATTTGTATATAGACACATGATTTGGTTGGCTTAGAAACTGAAGCTCTAGGATTTGCTTTTTTTATGTTCCTTGAGCCTTATGATTGAACATAACATGTGAAACTTGGGTTCAAGCATAAGCATAAAGAGAAAGAAAGATTCCTTCTGTATGTACTCTGAGTACCTTCATAAAGAAGTTAGACTGTCCAGGATAAGTAAGTTGTGTAGACAATCAACCTGAGGCGAGTGGAAATCAGCTTTTATGTGGCTATCCTACATGCTTCTCTCAGCCTTGTTTTCTGGGTATCTCTTTCTTATGCCACATTTGTTCCCAAATTTGTGCTTTTCTTCAGGCCTTTCCCTCTTCCAAGAATATGCTTCCCTTCTCTATATTTAAATCCCACCAAACCTTGAAGTGTGACTTGTAGACTCATCTCAAATCTGCTGCCTTCTACAGATCTGTCCTGACAATTCCTGACTTTCCACACACCCACTCAGGAGTTTCACTGGGGCAACCACATCCAAATAATCTGGAGTGCTGGATGAAGGTACAGAAGCCCTGCCCTGTTGGGTCAAAAGATGGCTTCATGTTTAGTTGGCCTTCTACATAGTTTTCATGCTTACTAATATTTGAGAATCATTGACTTGGTATTTGTAAGATACAGTAAGCCTGGAGTAAACTTACTTACACTAATCACTATTTTAATAATACATGTAAATCTTAAATCTTCAGTAAGACTGCAAACTGTCTGAGGACAGGGGACATTAATTTACTACCCTTTATGTCCCTAACAAGGTGCTAAGGACAAGTGAACAGTTTGTGAAAAGTTTCTTTAAACTTACCTACAAATATAGATAAATGGGAACCAATTAGCCTCATTGCTGATAGAGTATGGTTTATAAGATGAGTACTGGGTGTTATATGAAACTGATGAATTGTTGAACACTACATCTTAAACTAATGATGTACTATGTGTTGGCTAATTGAATTTAAATTAAAAGAAGAGGGCGCCTGGGTGGCTCAGATGGTTAAGCGTCTGCCTTCGGCTCAGGTTATGATCCCAGAGTCCTGGGATCGAGTCCCGCATCGGGCTCTCTGCTCCTTGGGAGCCTGCTTCTCCCTCTGCCTCTCTCTCTGTGTCTCTCATGAATAAATAAATAAAATCTTTAAGAAATAAATAAATAAATAAAAATAAATTAAAAGAAGAGTTCTTCAATAGAGAATTAGGTTTGCAGAGAGATGTGGCTTCTTTAATGGGGGAATATTTGCTCCACTGCAAATGTACCCATAAATACTAAGACAAGAAAGTGTGTATACTTTACACTTTGACTAGGAAAAAAGTCAGAATGCTTTTACTGTGTGTTCCTATTTTCATTCTTAGAATTTTTAGAGTTCAAAGGGCATGGCACTTTTAGTCAATTGCTATTGTTGAGACCATCGAGTCAAACAATATAGGTCAGATTTTCTCCTCACAGTCATTTGTTTCTAAGCTTCGACAAGTCCTTAATTCTGACACTCACTAATGGTGCATCTCCATTTATATATTCTGGTTACATTATAAATTCCATAACTTCTAGACATTGCACTGTGAAGGGTTTACTCTGAGTGCCATATGTGAGCTGTGCCCCCAAACCTTTTTAGACACTATGAAAACTAAGATAATTTTTCCCTCCTAACTAGCATCTAGTGGTCAGTTTCCTCAGTAATTTTTAATATTTTTTATTTCCTCTGGCCCACTTTTCCATTCTTTAAGATGAGTTCTCTTGATGAAAGGGAAACATATAGATGATGTATATAGTAAAATTTCCAGGCCCACACAAATTAACTGTATCAACAGTTTTAATTTTTCTTTCCTAATATAAAGGATAAAGCCATCATGTGGGAAGGAAAATCTACCCTGGAGACTCCAGATTCCTGCGCAACTCCTAAACACCTAAATTTGTACACTGATTATTAACCACAACTTCAGTAATCATTCCTCCAATGCCCTGAAGTAAATGGCTGACTGAACAGTGAAGATTGAACTGTGTCCTAGGAGGTGAGGACCTGAACTCCCACGAACTGAGAAGGAAAGCACATTCCAAAAGAGGACCTATTTCTAGCAAAAAAAAAAAGCAGTTACCAGAACACCTTAGTACTCCCGGCCAGATACAACTGGTCACACCTTCTACTGGGGTGGGAGGAACGTTTCCCTTTGACCAAGACTGACCATATCTTTACCTTGGGCTCTCTGGGAGGGTAAAAGGGAAAAATTTAGGGGTGGAGGGAGGAAGAGGGAGATGTGGAGAAGAAAAGAAGAGGAGAAAGGACATTCTGAAATACTTGGCATGCCATTAGAAAAGAAAGGTGAATTGTCTAGAACTCTGTTTACTTTTGCTCCCTGCCCATCCCTCCCTCCCCCGCCCAATCACCTTATGTAACAGTCGTGTTCCAGCCGTCTGTGCACGTGAGACAGTATTGTCATCCTCGTGATAACCCATACGGTATTCAGAGGTGAACCCAGGACTCCTGGATGTAGCAGGTGTTGCCAGCATCTGGATGGGAAAGCAGACCAGAATTTAAGGTAAAGAGAGGATTGCTTACGATTGATTCTAGGACTCCCTGTAATGGAAGCTGAGGAACCACAGAAATAGATGATCCCAGCTGATCCAAGTGTTCAGTCCTCTTGTAAAGTTAGAAGGATTTCATATGGTTCAAAGCAGGCAGTCAGAAACTGCTTTTAGGTACAGCTACAGAGACCAGTTTAAAGAAACCAGGGAGGTAAACATTTTGCCCTCGTGATCTCAGTTCTGCTATGAAATTCACTGTTGCTTACAGCCATTAGGTCTGTTTTTTCTCTCTCTGAAAAAACATTGGTATTTCTCCCACCATTTCACCACCAAACATATTGTCCATTTGAGCTTGGAACATCTCCTGTCCTTGTTGACAGTGAAGAGAGAAAGTGTTCACATAGTTCCTAACAGTGATTCATTTTAAGTGTAGTAAGTAAGTGGCATTGACATAATCCAGCTTACTGTCAAGCTGACCCATCTTCCTGGAAGTTATTTTTTACCTAAGTATAGAATATTTCACAACATGCCATTACCATGAACCCAGGGAGTTAGCCAGGCTGCCCTCTTGCAGTACTATTCTGTAGACATAGCTACAGCATTCACTGTTCTTCACCACGTGGCTTTTATTATTTGGGTTTGGCAGCTTTGGGTTCAAAATGGTAGCTTATAGAGGAAATTCATTGTTTATAAGAAGTTAATGTGTGCCTGTGACAACTTAAGACCTTATGAGGAAACTACTGACATTTATTCTGACAAGTTGTTTATGCTTACATTTTCGTCCATGTTCTTTAACCACAGATTCAGAGAGGTACATTTTCAGAACAGTATTTTCCTCTCGATTTATATGATTGTGCAGTTAAACCACATTAATTTACAGACCATGAGGACACAGCTTAATTTATACTTTTGGCCTGGATAAACATGATACAAAATGACAGTGGTGAGTAGTTTAAATTCTGGGAGATTTTAAAAGAAATGAGGCTAATAAAATGGACCCTTCTAAGTGAGTGAATTGATGTGAATAAGATACGGTGCCTCCACAAGAGAGCTTACCATCAAATGGGGAAGACGCCAAGCACACGGCCAAGAACTCTTCATGGCTTAGAGCATAGGACACGTGCTGTGACAGCATGACTAATTCTGATGCTCTGTTATCTTTCACAACAATCTCCATGTCCATAGTCCCTAAAATAACTAATTAGAAATTCCAACAGCAAGAGTCTTGACCTAATGTGGTTTCCTCTACATTTGGGGAATCACAGTATCGCTGCCTGAGAGAGTGAATGGATCTCAGACCTTCCCCTCAGGGGAAGGAGACATCACCTGAAATGATAAAGACCCAAGCAGGTACCTTGAAAAATTAAAAATGGAAATACTATATAATCCAGTAATTCTACTACTGGTTATTTACCCAAAGAAAATGAAAACACTAATTTGAAAAGATAATATGCACCCCATGTTTATTGCAGCATTATTTATAATAGCCAACATATGGCAGCAGCCTAAATTTCCATTGATAGATGAGTGAATAAAGAAGATGTGGTATATATCCATATTTATATATTTATACATATATAGAATGGAATATTACTCAACCATAAAAAAGAATGAGATCTTACCATTTGCAACAACATGGATGAAACTGGAGGGTATTATGCTAAGTGAAATAAGTCATTGAAAGACAAATACCATATGATTTCATTTATATGTGGAATCTAAAAAATAAAACAAATGAACAAACAAACAAATAACAGAAACCAGCTCATCAATGTGGAGAATAAATTGGCGATTGCCAGAGGGGACAGGGGTGGGAGTATCCTCCACCCCAAATCCATATTCTCTATATCTGATATTTATTCTCCTTGGAGCATTATTCTAAGATTTGGCCACGTATAAAATTTGTCTTTCAATGGCCATTTAACCACTCTCAATCTCAAGACTCTCTTCATATCTAAAACATTCAAGGCACTTGTCGGCTATTCCCCCATCCCATACTTTCTTAGAAGACAATTACTTGAGTTTCATCTCTTATTGTGATACTCCCTTGGTCTGACAGCCCCATGGTAACTTTTCATCTTAACCTTGCTGCCTAGTTCCTGTTGGCTTAGTTAATGTATTATTATGATAGGTGATAGGTCAACTCTTTTATACTGGGAGAAGCACTCCAGTTGTTTACCAAGTAGATAGGATCTGTAAATATGCATTGTATCTGGATTACTACTGCAAGTTTTAAAGTTCCTTCCATTTTTCAACTCTTTCAAGACCTTAGCTATAGTCTCCTACCATCTTTCTTCATTGCCTTATTACTTCTCTGTGGGCATTCCCCATAGAAATAAATTTGCTTTTGTAGGCTTCATTATTCTCCCTTTAAAAAATCAAGGACTTATATTATCTCACAGCTCTTACATTCTATATTTCTAGAACTGATTTATAGTCAAAGAATTACTTTTCAGTATGTACATTGAAATTTTTCTTTCAAAAAAATGTAGAATTCTCAAAATTTTCTAGAAAAATGTACATATTTCTAACTTTTGGAGCTGTTTCTTCTAAAAGTGAAAAAAAACTATTATCAATATAAAACAAACTATCCAAAGTCAATCCAAATAAATAGCCAAGAGATTTGCTACCTAAAACAGCTTTGAGGGGTGCCTGGGTGGCTCAGTCGTTAAGCATCTGCCTTCAGCTCAGGTCATGATCCCAGCGTCCTGGGATCAAGCCCCACATTGGGCTCCCTGCTCAGTGGGAAGCCTGCTTCTCCCTCTCCCATTCCCGCTCTTGTGTTCCCTCTCTTGCTGTGTCTCTCTGTCAAATAAATAAAATCTTCCAAAAAACAAAAAAACAAAACAAAACTGCTTGGAGCAAACCGACTGGATACAGAACCTTAAGAAATCCAATCTATATAGTAAAAGGAAACTAAGATGATTTTACACAGAATCATTCATCTTTTCATAGACCCAGCAGCTTGCTGTGACCACTCATCCTGGAAGATGTTTCATAGATATTGAGTAAACTGTCTCTCAGAACTGACTTTATTGTCACATGTTTTCACTAATTATCTGGCAGCCAGTGCTCTGTCCAGGAATGTGCACTTTGAACTTGAGTGAAAGGCACAATTAGTCAAGACTGACTTGGAAGTAATGAAAATTGAGGTAAAAGTAAAACTACTCTGATGAAGGCGAGGAATATAATTCAATGGGGAAAGAAGAGTCTTTTAAATAAATAGTGCTGGGACAACTGCATATCCATATGCAAAAAAATGAAGTTGCACCCCTGCCTCACACTATATACAAAAATTAATTCAAAATAGATGAAAGAACGAAATGTAAGAGCTAAAACTATAAAACTCTTAGAAGAAACATTGGTTTAAATATTTGTGACCTGAGATTTGGCATTGGTTTGTTTATTTATTTTCATTCATTTACTCATTCATTCATTCGTGTTGTTGTTGTTGGCTTTATCTAGTTTATTATAATTGAGATGTAATTGACTTATTATATTAGTTTCAGGTATACAGCATAATGGTTTGGGATATTTGTATCTACTGAGAAATAGTCACCAGGAATCTAGTTAAAATCACCACACAGGGGCGCCTGAGTGGCTCAGTCGTTAAGCGTCTGCCTTCGGCTCAGGTCATGATCCCAGGGTCCTGGGATCGAGCCCCGCATCAGGCTCCCTGCTCTGCGTGGAGCCTGCTTCTCCCTCTCCCACTCCCCCTGCTTGTGTTCCCTCTCTCGCTGTGTCTTTCTCTGTCAAATAAATAAATAAAATTTCTAAAAAAAAAAAAAATCACCACACATAGTTACAAATTTTTTCTTCCTTGTGATTAGAACTCTTAAGATCTACTCTCATAGTAACTTTTAAATGTATAATACAGTATTATTAGCTATAGTCACAATGCAGTACATTACATGCCCATGGCTTATTTATTTTATAATTGGAAATTTATATCTTTTCACCAACACTTGACACCTCTGCCATTGTTTTCTTTAGACCTGATACCAAAACCACAAGTAACCAAAGAAAAACTAGGCAAATTTGGATTTCATCAAAATTAAAAACTTCTGTGCTCCAAACACACTATCAAGAAAGTGAAAACACAACCTGCAAAATGAAAATATTTAAAAATCATATATCTGATAAGGGTGTAGTACCTAGAATATATTTTTTAAAATTACAATTCAGGGCGCCTGGGTGGCTCAGTCGGTTAAGCGACTGCCTTCGGCTCAGGTCATGATCCTGGAGTCCCGGGATCGAGTCCCGCATCAGGCTCCCTGCTCGGCAGGGAGTCTGCTTCTCCCTCTGACCCTCCCCCCTCTCATGTGTTCTCTCTGATTCTCTCTCTCTCAAAATAAATAAATAAAATCTTAAAAAAAAATAAAAAATAAAAAAAATAAAATAAAATTACAATTCAACAATAAAAACACAAATAATACAATTTAAAATGGGACAGAGATTTCAGTAGACATTTCTATAAAGATATACAAATGGCCAATATGCACACAAAAAGATGCTCAAGATTACTGGCCACCAAAGATATGCAAATCAAACCATAATGGAATATTATTTCAAACTTACTAGGGTGGCTACAATAAAAAAAGGCAGATAATAACAAATGTTGGCAAGGATGTAGAGGAACTGAACCCTATACGTGATTGGTGCGAATGTAAAATTGTGCAGCAGCTTTGAAAAACAATTTGGAAGTTCCTCAAATGTTAAACATGGAGTTGCCATATGACCTAGCAATTCCACATTGAGGTATATACCCAAGTGAAACAAAAACATGTCTGCACACAAAAACTCAAATATGAATGTTTACAAGAGCATTTTTTACAGGATTTTTGAGAAGCAGAAATGTTCCAAATGATGAATGGATAAACAAAGTTTGGTATATCCATACAATGGAATATTTTAAGCCATAAAATAGAATGAGATCCTGATACAGGCTACCACATGGATAAACCTGGATAACATGCTAAGTAAAAGAAGCCAGACATAAAAGGCTACATATTGCACAATAACTTATAAATGAAATGCCCAGGATAGGCAAATCCACAGAAACAGAAAGTAGATAAGCAGTTGCCAGGGGTTGGGGAAAGGGGAGAATGGGGATTAATTACTAACGGGTCTGGGGTTTCTTTTTTGGTTATGAAAATATGCTGAAATTAGATAGTAATGATAATTGTACAACTTTGTGAATATATGAAAAACCCACTGAATTGTACACTTAAAGAGTGAACATTACAGCATGTGACTCACATCTCAATTTAAGAAAAGATAAAATGACTCAAAATTACACAAATGTGAAATTATTTGAAAAGTATAAAAGCGCTTTGTCAGCAGTTCTCAAACTTTCAGTCTCAGAATCCTCTATACTCTTACCTAAACATTTTCTCATGTGCCATTAGAAAATAAAATTGAGGGGGGGCAGAGCAAGATGGCGGAGGAGTAGGAGACCTGGATTTCGTCTCCTCTCAGGAATTCAGCTGGATAGGGATCAAACCATTCTGAACACCTACAAACTCAACAGGAGATCGAAGAAAAGAAGAGCAACAACTCTCTCATCGGAAAAGCGACCACTTTCTGGAAGGTAGCACATGTGGAGAAGTGAATCGGAGGCGATATTCGGGAGGATAGACGGCGGGGGAGGGGCCCCCGTCGGCCGCCTCTGGCAAGTGATAGAGCCGCGGAGCACAAAATGGGAACTTTTAAAAGTCTGCTCCGCCGAGGGACGTCACTCTGGTGGCTAAGCGGGGGGTGGAACCCTCCGGGACAGTGTGGTCTCAGGACCCTCGGGGTCACAGAAAGACCGGGGGTGCCTGAGTGCGGCAGAGCTCCCAGGTAAGGGAGCAGGGAAGCCGGCTGCAGAGGCGGAGCCCAGGTGCGGGCTCTCAGCTCGGGGTTGCCGTAAACCGTGATCCGCGGCACAGTCGGGCCCCTGCTCCTCCAGCAGGGACCCAACAAGCGGCAGATCCGGGGAGACGCCCCTTCCTCCCCTGGGAGGAGCCGCGGGGGAGCGCACCGCAGGGATCTGCTGGGTTTGGAGACTCCACCCGGGGTCGGGAGCCAGAGATAGAAACGCGCAGTCACAGGCCGGGTGAGCACGGAGTGCGGCCGGAGACCGGGGAGACGGGAGTGACTGACGGCTTTTCTCTGGGGGCTCACTGAGAAGCGGGCCCCGAG